TTTTAGTCGGGCGTCTGTGATCTGCGGGTTAAGTGCTTTACATAAGGTCGCCTCCACCTCAGCCGAAGCATTGAAAAATATCATTTATTCACATATCACAATTCAGATTACCTCAACCAGAACACAGACCTTCCCGTCACCTTTTTTTTGTTTTTTTCTTCTTCATTTTGCCATACAGGAAATATAAATTGTCTCCATGTAATAAATGATTCTTTGTGCCCTCAGGGTCATTTTTTTTTTTACTTTAACTGTTTTCATAATCATATCTCTTATAGCACATTTTCCTTATTAAACCATAAGTCACTCAATACATTATAATAAGAAGATTTTTATTTTTTTAAATGCAAAATAATTCTGAAAATTAACTGGCCATCAGAGCAAAAACTGCCTCGGCTATTACAGCTTCTAGTGTGTTTTTGTCTTTTGTAATATTTTCTTTTAGAGATTCTTATCTATAAAAAGATTTGAAAATGTTGTTACCGGTAAAAGATTATAAGGCTATAAAAATAATTGTCTTTTTTATTTTTACTCCTACGTGTTTACTCTACAGATTGTGAGATCTCCAGAGGCTTTAGCACTTCAATATATTGCGGGGTTTACACACCTGTGATGGTCACACAGTTTATTTTGCTATTTTTTTCCCCCTCTCAGCTATAATTCATGGTTTATGAACAAACAAGGTAGTGATCCGGTGGCATTTACAAGGCTCTGTGCTTTGTATTAGATCTGTGGTGGATGAGCTGGCTGGCCTGTCACTGGCCTGTTGTCTCACTCAGCCATCTGAATCTCAGTTTAGCTATCAGGCTGAAAGTCAGTTGGTTGTCTGCATGTGTCTATTTCTTTCTGACCTGACTGCAGCGTGGCGCGGTTTGTTTGTAAGTCTGCCTGTCTGCTTGAGTTTCTTGTGGAAGCTGAGTGTCATCCAGATGGGCAGAACGCAAGTCAGTCGGTGTAAAGCCAGTGTGGACTTGAATGTAAATTAATGGAAGGACTGTAGATTTTTTTTCTTCAATGTTTGAGCCACTTGCTTCCTTTTGCACGGTCAATGTCAATACAGCATTTGATTCAAATGCAAAAATTTCTTGCTGCGTTCTTTGAAAGTGATGATATACTATATCAAATACACAAAGCTTTCATTTTTTTTCATCATTTACAGCTATTAAATATGCATTTTTAAATTACAGAAATACACAGAAAATTCAAATGTAAAACTGAAACTGTGCTATTGATTCCATTTATTTATTTATTTGATCAGAGACCATGCATTTTTACAAAGAAAACATCTGCTGTACTGCATATAGAGTGTATAGCATGAAGCTTATTTTCAACTCCTGTCCCTGGTTGGGCTTTTATGTGGTTTAGCTGCACACTTTGGCAAAGTAGAGCATAAATCCTCCCTAAAAATTGCAAAATTCAAAAAGTTCAGTAATGAATCATCCAAACAGAAATATATTTTTTTTATTTCAGAGGAACCTCAGCCACGACCCACCCTTTTGGCTTCATTATCTGTTTTCCTCACTAATTAAAAAATGTGCTACATGTAACTGTCCCTGTAGAATGAGCTTTGATTTCTGCCAAGAATCTCTCGCTGTGCGTGTGAACTCATGGACTCGTCTTTATTTGGGAACTCTGAGCTGCTCAGTTGACCTACAAGAACTGGGAAAACACTGTCGAAATCAATGTTCTTTAAATGTATTTGCAGTCTGCTATGTGCTTTTGAAATACTCAGCAATTAAAATATTTTCCTCAACCTTCCCCAGATCAGCGTCTTTTCACAGCCGAGTCTCTGCTTTACTGTCGGCAGTTGAAAAGAACCGAGCTGTGCATGCATGTCAAGGACACTCAGAAGAATTTTGACACAGCTTTTCATTTTGAATTTAACTGTATCATCACACGAAAGATATATCAATGACTTTGTAGTTTTCTTGAATGAATTGTGGGTTAACAGACTAATGCATAGCAGGTGAATAGAAAAGGGTTTCCAGTTCCTAGATTGCTGAACCAAAGCGGACTTTGAAAGTGGACAGTGGGTGTTTGAATTTTAGAGTTCAACTATCTACGATATAGTATGAAATAAACAGAAATTAGAGCTCAAATAAGTGATAACTGTATATTTTGTAAAAAGCAACAAAATTGGCGATTTTGTAGCCACATATCTAGACTTTGTAAACATGAATGAAGGTTTTAAACAACTGGGAAGAGAGTTGCCGTTTGGATAAAGGAGGAGAGACGGTTGATTGGTTTTCCTGCCTCTGTTGTCAATCCTCCAGCCTTCAGCTTTTGCTTCAGAGACAGATCACTTTGTGCACAATTTCCCTGCTAATGATAGGGTGTTGGGGCAGGTATACGCATCAGTGGCGCTGGGGAGGTAAGTACCCATACTGATAGGTATAGAAGTGCAGAGACAGATACAGTAGTTGGGTGGCAGGCTACCTTCCCTCTCCATTGAGCTCTGTGTATCTTGGAGTCTGCTGCTAGCCTGCCCCTTGGCCGAGCCACTCTCCAACAGACTTCCTCTCAGTCTGTCACTCCTACTCCCTTCCTTCCTCATGCTCTGTCTTTTGCTTCTTCTGTTACCTGCTTCTCCCACTCCATGTTTTCTCACCTACTTTTCATTTGTCACTACAGAGTCAGATTACAGACTTGACTGTTTCCTCGCCTGCTTCCCCCACCAGCTGTTTTTTCTCAATCAACTGCAATATACCCACACATCTCCTTTGGGTTTGCTACTACTATGCGTAACACCTCATTTCAACACAACTTTGTTTGGTGTTCCCAGTTCTGTAGAATATATGGATTGAGCGCAAAACATACACTTCTTTGCAGATGGATGCAAACTTTGTGACAGACATGGGAAGAGGCTAATGTAATCAGGTTTATGCTGTGCAGTTTTAAGGAGTCTGCACTAAGAATTAGACTTTGACTTTATTAATCCCCAGAGGGAAATTCAGTTGTTACAGCAGCATGAATATTCGACAAAGGGGGTAAACAAAAGCAAAAAGACAACACAGAATATTAGGGTAGGGTATAAAATGAAGGTAAAATAAAGTAAGGTAAAAAAATATAGAAAGAAAAGGCAGAAAAATTTACAAGAACATACAAGGGAGATGCAGAAATGTGCACAGATCCCATTACAGTGACAGAAACGGGGGCAATATTGCATGATGAGAAATAAATGAGCAGGTTGTCCTTCAGTGTTGTGAAATTTGTTAACCAATGTATGCACAATGCATGTACGTTACACAGCTAGCTTGTGTTAAACTAACTGAAAACTTTGTAATGATGCATCTGCGCCATTTGATTGTCAGCATCTTTTCAGGCCCCACAGTGCAGCCTCCCTGAAATCCTCTGCTAAAGTTCACTTTTTTCAGCATGCTTGTTGCAAATTACGGAATAATAAAGCGTAAAGTGGAGTTTTGCAAACACATCTCGGAGGTCTCAATAGGAATGCATGGACTTCCAGTTGACATACAGGCACAGAGCTTTGTGAAAACGAGGCACAAGATTCACAGCTAAGAGCCACACACGGTGCCAGACGCCACCTGACACCTTTTCTTCCTGTGGTTCGGCTCGGAATTGCTGCAGTTTGCAATCTCTGTCTTCCCCCTCATACACCACATTTTCCTCAGTTCCTCTCCTACTTTCTCATCCTCCTCCCCCTGTATTCCACTCACCATTTATTCCGCTTGCCTTTGTCTCACTGACTATGTCAATCACCAAATAAAAGGCGAGATTAAAAGGGAAGATTGTTACATCCAGTCCATCCTAGCAGGACAGGCTGTGAATAGGGCCTCTGTGCCCGTCTGTCCCCATCCAGGGTTTCAATCCAGATGTTGTTGAAAATCAGTGCGATGGTATTGTCAGAGGGAAGTGGCTCCCTCAGCCCCGCTCTTCTCCTCATGTTGCACTCTGGCTTGGAGTTAAAAGTTTAATTGTGAGCAGACCTTTGCCATTTGTTTTCTGTGTCGGTGCAGCAAGAAGCGCTTGTGTTTGTTTAAAGATGAGTTCAGTTATTGCAGCTAATCCAGAAGGTATTGCATGCACTGCTTAAGACTGAACTCATTCCCAAAATGCTGCTCTGGGCCTTTTTGATTCCTGCAAGTGATCAAATTAAATGTTAGTGTGTTTTGATAGAAGTTATTCTGTTTTCTTTTTTCCCTTTTTTCCTCTTTTATGTGTTCCCTCTTATTTCTCTTCCTTTCCCCCCACTCTAACACCTTCCACATATCTTTTCAGTGTCCTACATCTTTCCATCTTTGCTCTGCTCTCCACCCTCCCTCTCTTCCACCTCCCCAGTTTGTTCTTGTTAACAGCCCCAGCAGGAGAGAGATGTGCTCCACAGACTGGGGTCTAGGGGGCCACAGCTGCCCAATCACAACCTGATTTATCAACCTCCTCCAGCTAGCCTGCATAGAGATACTGTTTTGCTCGCTTGCTTTGGTTGTTACTTACAGCCAGCAAGGCAGGTTGTTTGTATTTGTGGCTGCGCATCCTTAGGATGTGTCTGCCGTAATGAAATGTCTCTCCCTGTAATGTATCTCACCCACTCTCCAGCAGCTGAAGCCTGTCTTTGTATCCATCTTGCCTTTTTCTCCATACCAGGATATATTTACTGACATAAAGGATGAAGGGCTGACCGGTGATCCCAGCTGATGTTTGTTTTAGAAATCTCATCCACAACCACTTGATAACAGAAGATGAAGCCTTTGTTTTTTCTCAGTTTCAGTACATTTGTCCTTCACATCCTGTTTTCTTTTATTTTGTTTTCCACCATATTTCTCATGTTTCTCACATCGTCTCCGTGCCTCTTTTCCTCCCTCTGTTCGTACACCATGTCCACTTCCAGATGGAGACCAGATATTCAGACTTTTTATTTTTTATTTTTTAACTGATTTCAATGAAGTTCATTCTGAATTAATGTTTGTTTTTTTCCCTCTTTGTCCCACTTCTCTGACTTTTCCTCCCTCACTTTCCATTTCCACCTCTCTCTCTGCCTCTAGTTCAGTACCAGATGGAGATGATGCGTTCCCTGCGTCACGTCAACATTGACCATCTGCATGTGGGCTGGTACCAGTCCACCTACTATGGCTCCTTTGTCAGCCGAGCGCTGCTTGACTCTCAGTTCAGCTACCAACACGCCATTGAAGAGTCAGTTGTACTCATCTATGGTGAGTAGTACTACACACAAGACTGCGTACATGATGTGTTTTGCTTATGTACTGCCTTTTGTTTACACATTACACCCAAGTCACTGCATTTTCCACACAAAATAGTCAGAAAGTTTGGCCGTAGCAAAACATCAAAATCTATCTCTGACTTGTGGTGAAGGCAGGGGACACCCTGGACAGGTCACCAGTCTATCACAGGGCCACACTTAGAGACAGACAACCAAGCGCACTCACATTCACACCTACAGACAATTTAGAATCACCAATTAACCTCAACTGTGTGGGACGAAGCCGGAGAACCCAGAGAGAACCCACGCTGCACAGGGAGAACATGCAAACTCTACGTAGAAAGATCCCGGGTGTCCTCACCGGGATGCGAACCGGCAACCTTCTTGCTGCGAGGCAACGGTGCTAACCACTAACCACGGTGCTAACCACCGTTCCACCTTGCAGCCCATGATGAGTTTATAATCCTAAATTATTGATAAAAATCAAGACGTTTTATGGTAAACGTGACTTTAGTGTCGCAGATAAATGAAACCCATGTTCATTAAGTGCGTTTGAATAGCCAAGATGGGTTCAACCGTTGGTCAGTACAGGTAATGGTCAGATGAGCTGCTCTAATTCTTGGACAATCTATTACTATCACTTCCAGGAAATGTTTTATTGACAAAATAGTAAAAGACCAAGAATGCAGAGAGAAGATCCACTGCTTTATTGTTCACCTGTCGAACAGCCATTCACAGGTCATCACTAATGAAGGAGGCTAATGCTGTTGGAAACTGTTTGTAGAAGAGTCCTTGAGATCTACACTCTAGTTCCACAAAGAATTGCTGAATCTTCATGAGAGTGGGGAGAAAAAAAAAAACGAAACAAAAGCTCAGTCAGATTCACTATAGAAGGTCACGATTTGTTTTCTTTCCGTGGCACTAAAATTGTGTTTCTGCAAGGGAGTTGATTACAGTCATTTAGGGTTCATTGTCGTTCAGGTTTCAGCCATGATTAGACAAACTGAAGTCAAATTTAGTCTCTTTTATCAATAAGTATCCCAGAATAGGCCTGCCACTGAGAAGCCTTAAGATATTCCGCTGTGGTTCACATTCACAGAGTCTCAGCAATAAATCAGTCTGACAGATGTAGAAAAAGAAGTTGAGGTAAGCACAGATGTTTAAAAAAAACAATCTAAATCTAAATTAGATTTTTGTTTCAAGATAAATTTCCATGAGTATGTGCATCGCCATCAAGTGCGTTTCAAACAGACTGACAAGCTTGAAGAATATTTATAGAGATATTTTCTTTTCGTGCAGGTCTGCGATAATGCCATCTTATATCTTCCAAATCTGGGTGTAGATAATCTTCAGTCGAACAACAGGGTGGAAGGCCGCGGGAGGGGGAGTGCAGATGCAGTTAGGCACAAGTTCCCATCTAACACCGCCTCACAATAAAGTCTGGTGCCGCCTCGGTCGTGGGGATTGTGCACACGTCTGCAGCTCTTCTAAGGCCAACAGCAGAGAAGGCACAGACGAGCAGAAAACAGGAGGAAACGCAGGATTAATAAGCTAGCTAGTAGTCACTAACATGACACTAACACACATGATGCGTCTGCAGGTGATTCACGGTAAAAAAACCTTTAAGAGCTGCCCATAACTGCTGCACCACAAATGCCACCACAGATGGTCTAAGCCTTCAAATGGCAGCAGTATTAAAATTTACATGACAGAAAATTAAAACCTGTCACTGCTGAAAGGTGTGCATTTTAATTTCTCCGTGTCTAAATAAATGTTAATTCATTACCAGACCGAGTGCTCCCTGAGTGCAGAAGCAGTATATTAATACATTAATTAGGTCGATGACTATGGTAATTATTTGGTTTTTGATTATCTAGTTTCTGTGAGAGTCCTGCTGCTTATATTTATGCTTGTGATGCTCAAATGTGACCCACACATTAGAGACTTGTGCAAACTGTAATCACATATTGACACTGTCAGAATGCCAAATTGCATCAAGATAGCAGTTTCTGCCCGTATTGTATACTTCGTGATACCCTCCCCCCCCCCAGGTTTATGAACCGAAAAATTAGAGTAAAGTAGAGCCAGGGTGACACAGAAAGACTTACAAGCTCACTGACCTGAAATCACAATCTTTCATTAGAACCGCTCAGTGTTTATCCAGTCACTTCAAGTCAAGAGGGAGTCAACAAACAGAATCGTGACTTTTTTTAAAGCAGCTTTGAATTTCATCAATATCTCAGTGCTGCTGAGTGGGAAGGAACTCCCCCTGCCCTATTCTGTCTCTCCGAAATCACTTAAGGGTCATCGTTTTCTCACGTTGTACAAATCCAGGATAGACAACGATTAGGCTTAAACATTTCACTTATTTAACCCTCTGATCTAGTCTCACCAGCCAACCAGCGGGACACTCAGACAAGGCAGTTAGTCAGTCCTTTCTCATTCTAAATGAGGCTTCCTGTTAATGTCAATCAATAATGCAGCGCTTAACGGATCAAAGCCCCTCAAAGGAATTGACATTATCTCTGTTTAAAGTCAAAGGGAAAGAAAATTGATTTCTTTTTTGTTCTCTTTGTCATTAGCTCAGTGGTCATTTTATGCCGATGAATGAATCAATCATGTGGCCAACTGGCGGGTTAATAGCTTCCGTCCAATGGCTGCTCAGAATTAGAGTGGGTTGTTAAACCAATTGGTTAAATGTGTTCGCTGCGACGGCGCTTCTCTAACGTGAGGTGAGCAGTTAAGATGGCCAGATGCAGAGCTTAGTGCAGATCCAGAGCTTTTGTCAGGGGCGATGAGTACAACCAGTTGGATTTAAAACCTCATTAAAAGCAAGCTTTTAAGTGGTACTGTTTACCCATTTGTAAAAGTCATACAGAATTGATTATTCTGTTTGATTATCTGATGGAGTGTCTATATTTTCCTTGAGCTGGTTCATCATTTTTTTTTCTCAGTAAATCGATCACAGTTCTTGAAACGGAATTTAAACATAAGATGAGACCAGTTTCCTTCAGATGTAAAGGAGTGCTATCATCATCCTCAGATACCCTCTACGGAATAAGTACCCCTGAAATTTGATTTCTCACTATTTTTTTGTTAGGTACATCAGTGAATGTCTGGTCTCCATCTGGAACTGGTCCACTGCATTCGTTTGTCCTGAAGCTGCACTGTCAACTTGCCTCTGGGTTGTTTTTGTGCACTTGGTTATCTAGGTTTAGTGCCTTCTTGGCGTTTGCAGATGAAATACAAAAACAAACCCACTGTTCTGTTTAACCAACAGAACTACTGCATATGATGCTGTGTGCACCACGTGGTAGAAGCGAGCCTTTATTGGCAGGGAAAGACAAAGGCCTTCAGTCAGCGAGCTTCCTATGGATGTAGAAGAGTTACCTTGAACGAAGTGTTGCTATCACCAGCCATTCTCAGTGGAGATGGCCAGCATGAACTGAGATTAGCTGTCAACTGTCAGTCTTGTTTGGGGCTGGCTAAGCTGTAGGCAAACGGCCTGTCGCAGTTGGCTGTTGGGAATGGAATAAGTTTGAGTAGAATTTCTGGTCAACTCTAGTTTGGTGGCTGTCAGCCTGTTCAGTCCGAGCCAGTATTCCCACTCTGTTTTTCTGCAGGTAGCACGAACAAGGAAATGGAATAGAGTTAGACGGCAGAGCTGATGTAGATTATTTTACCTGTTGTTGCTGTTTTTAATATTACTTTAACTTGAGTTTGTCGAATTGATTCTATATAGGAGAGTGTGATTTTGCAGTACAGAGCAGAAGACGCTCCGCTGATTCGAATGTGCACAGATTTCAAGCCTGTTGAGAAATAAAGTTTTCTGTCCTTAAAGTAGAGAGATGATATTAACTGACAAAATCAATCAAATAAGAGATCTGATGGGAGGCACTTTATATTCCATTATTGATTTTCTTTTTTCTGGTAGCTGCTCTCCAGATAGCATTTTTTTAAACATGATTTTGTGTTTTACTTGTTTTCACTTCTGACATTTTTTCACAGTCTGCTAGAAACTGTTTTCATTTTAGGAAATTAGAATTACAGATAATATAGTGATTTTGGCTCATGATGGTGGATATTGTGTTGAGCGGAAACACTCTACTGTATTTCATGCATGGGAAAGAAGCCTAATTATTACGGATGTCATGTCATGCTAAATTCCATTTTCAGATATAGTAGTTAAGTTTGGCTTTCCTTATTGGCAAGGGAATTAACAAGAGAGTTTGTAAAATCTCTAACTTGATCATTAGGCCTTAAACAACATCTGAAGGAAATGGTTGAATCTTGGGGAAATAGGGTTCTTCATGTGCAATACCACTGAAAGATCTAAAGATTCTTGTGCCAAAACATTTCGCTACTTTGAAATGAAGTGACCTGTACTATAGTGTTATGTTCAATTATCATCCAGGGATGTTGTACAATGTGAAAAAGTGAGCTTGACTCTTTTGCATCATTATATTTTGTGTTGCTTCGAGGGAACAACTTTGATAACCAGCAGCAGCAAATTAGGATACAGCATTGGACTTGAGGCAGACAGTGGGAAGCAGTTGCCCACAGGGTCAAGCAGGAGACTTGGACCCAGAAGCTTGTTAACTGGAAAAATGTGGGAGCCAGAACGTAAATGATGAATGGTCTCAGCTAATTCGATCATCTTCAAGGTGTCCTTTTGCAAAGCACTTAACCGTTGACTTTCCCAGTGGTTTGTGAGACACCCGCACTGGACAGCGAGGACCACGGCACTAAGGCATCACTGTATATTACTAGGACAACTGTACTCACTTGGGACCCCTCATATATACATAAATATAGGACCCAGAGAGCACTGTGTGTCAGAAGATAATGGTAATATTTCTACTTGCCCCTTTTTACTTTAAATCTACTAGACACAACCCAGAGTCAGTGCTGACTTGCATTTTTTTTTATAACAAAACTGAACATATAGTAGACATCTGATGTGTAATTTTGTATATCTGTAATGGATACCAACTAAGTGAAAGCCAGGATATATGTTTGTTGCATTCAAAGCATGTGATTTGAAGAACAGTGAGGTTTTCTTCTTCTTCTTTGTCTTTTTAAACTGTCATCTCTCTGTCTCTCATTCTAGATCCCATAAAGACGGCCCAAGGCTCCCTGTCTCTCAAAGCCTACAGGCTTACCCCAAAACTCATGGAGATCTGCAAAGAGAAAGATTTCACACCTGAGGGGTGAGTAGTGTAACAGCAGAACACACAGGAAGACACTACCACGACTACTTTCTTGATCAAATGCCCACATAAGTGCAGATATTTACAAATGAATCATTTTTTGCATATATATATATATAAATACATGGACTCGTATTGCTTGTAGGAATACGGAATACTTTTTTTTTTATTTTTTACTTTTTTACTTCTGGTTATTCAGTGGATGTAAATACGGGCTTGCACGTCCACTGGGGAGGCATTTAGTAGTAGTTGGAGATGGATGCTGATGATGATGATTTATCAGCTTGCCCTTCCCCGTCAAACAAACGTACCATGTTTACGCTTTTTCTGACCCCAAGGCTTATCGTAATTGCATTTAAATTGCAGCTAAAAATGAACGTAATGAGGGGACCGTTTTTCCAGGCAGATCAGGCTAGTCCTGGTGCACCTACTCATACATGCATAAACGCACACATGAGGGCACGAGGCAAATGCAAGCTTAACAGCCCAATGACACAAGTCCCAGTGGCATCAGACTGCTGCCCATTCAGAACCTTCAGATATACATTTTTAAATCCACTAAAAGCAAGTGGATTTGCAGGGGAGGGAGGGAAATTTAACTGCATCATTTCATTTCTCTTTCCCGTTTCCTCTGTTATTTCTCCACCTGTGTGTCTCACTTGCCAGCCACTCTGTTATTGACCCACTGTGTTTGGCCCAGAGTCAGGATCCTTCTCATTTCTGCAGCTTTTCATTAGTTCCTATGATTTATTATGGCTCCAATCTGTAGCTATCAGTGTTCCCAATAAGCCCATGATTGAAAGAGGGCAGCTCAGGCAGGAAAGGACAATATCACCACATCACAACCATCTTGTCTCTATCCTATTATTTTCAGAAAGACTAGAAATCTGAATATCAATAATGTTTTATTTTCTCCAAAAGATGCAAAACTTCAAAAGTGTTTCATTCTCGCCACACTACAATGCGCAGCCCCTTTCATGTTGGCGTATTTGATGTTACATAAGCTTGCATATATTGTGCACCTTTTCTGAAATGAAAGGCATGGCTAGATGAGTGTTGAATAGACCCATCCCTTTGAACTGCCCTCCAAGTCCACTGGGCTATAGAGGCAGTGGTCAATAGCATCCACTTCAGCACACAATCTGAGGCATCAAATTAGTCTGCCTGCGGAGTCAACCTTTGGCTTTGTCCAGCGGGGCCCTACTTGGAAAGAGCATGGCATTAAGTGTCAAAGTCCAGTATGGGTGAGCAATTTGTCCTGCCCAGAATGTGCCGTCCCTCTGTTTCCTCATAGACACCTTTTTATTTTTTATGACTCTACAGGCATTTGAAAAGGTCATCGTATGCAGGAAATATTTTTTAATGCACCCCAGATTGATAATTATGCCAAAATCTTTACCAAACAATATTTGTATCGTTATGGATTTTCCCTATAGGTCGATGTTGTCCATAGTAATTTCTGTCCATACCTGCTCAGAGCCTGAGGCAACGTTGTCCACTTCCGTTGCCTCCTCTTAAAGTCGGCCTGAGGTGTGATGCGCCACCTCGAATACAAAACAACATTTATAAACGTAACTTATCACAATCAAACGATGCTCCACACTCCTATTTATCGCAGAGTCAAGCATTATATAAACATCTTTGTTTCTGCTACAGTGCACATGCTAGATTAATGCAGCGAGTGTATTGATCCCATAACAAGCACAACACATTTAACAAGGCAGCCTCGGACATATACAGACATTAGTTTGTAGCTCATGCACTGTGCACAAATGACAGGCTGAACTAAGGCAGTCAGTCAGTGTTATTAGATTTATGTGAGACATTAAGTAAAGGGTGAGGTTCCATTCAATGTTAACAGGCCTTTGTCAGAAAGAGAGAGAGAGAGAGGGAGAGCGGCGCTTTTAGCTCACGACGAGAATGTAGAGATGGTTAAAAATCAGCCAGTGCCTTGTGTCCCTGTCGGCGAAGAAGAAAAAATTACACAAGCTTTTGAGGCCAACGTTGCTCTAAGGGAGGCGATATTGATAGCTGGTCCTAGATATCAAAATGCAACATTCATAATCACATTATCGATTTGGCTTTTATATTGCTGAGGTTCAGTTTACTGACAAGCACCCAGCAAGTGGTAAAAGTACAATACTCTGTTTGTAACTTTTTGTTGTAAGAAGTGCCAACAGGAAGTAAAACTTGGAAATGAGCCAGAAGCAGAACAGAGGATGTCTGCGTTTAAAAAAGAAACCGATTTCACCACTTGAATGCAAATGAGTCGCAGCAGAACAACTGTTAACCCCAGCCACTCTGTCTTCGCTGAAAAAAAAGTGGTTTAAAATGGCTCCGGAGCAGAGAAGGTTTTTCTGGGCATTACAATTTGTTTGTCAAAGATTAATTTTCACCACCGATTCACACCCTTATGTGCTGTGTCATACAAGCTGGCCCCCTTGGAACCATTTGATATCTCAGAGAGAAAATAATAATGTTTCCTCTGGTTATAGTTTAAACGTGTGGCTGTGTGTCAGCTCAGTATTAAAAAAAATAACAGTGGTGTCTTGGCAGTGTGGCTGAAATCCACATCAGAATATTGATGAGACTTTTCCAATGTTTGTACAGACGAGCGAAATATTCAGTGGTGTAAATTTACATACAGAAATCATAAAAATATTATATGGAAAGTCAAATGGTTGACTCTGATTATTAGAATGTACATACTATAGCATCACGGGTAATGGAGAAATCCCTGAGTTGCCATTTACTTTGTCGAGTGCAGTATGTTTTAAGTTAATTGCATGCATGCTCCAAAAAATCTGAGTGACTGCGCTGAATGTGAAGGTATGGTATGTAATTCTACTCTAACACGTCGCCTCCTGCTTCTGTCTCCTGTAACGTCTCTCTCTCTCTCTCCCCAGCCTGAAGAAAGCCAACATCGGCTTTGAGCATATGTTCGAGGAGGTGCCCATTGTCATCAAAAACTCCCACCTCATCAACGTACTGCTGTGGGACCTAGAGGACAAGTCCACGGTCGCCGACAAGCACGAACTGCTCAACCTCTCCAGCAGGTCAGACATGAGCTCATGCAACCATTTACCAAAAGGGCCAGGTACCTTGGTTGTTAAAAGAAAAAAAAAAAAAGTGTGTTATTTCAAACTGGTTTTTCCTCAAGAGACAAAAAATGTAAAAATGTTCCTAAATGGTCTTGTGGGGGTTTATCAACATCTGTCCTCCAACCTTCTGTCCTGCTGGACTGTTTTTAATCTGATGCTGACATTGCAGGGAACTTGTAGGTGATGGAACAGATCTAGCTGCTGTGAATTAGTTTTCTATGTAGACCTGATCTTGCATTCAAAAAATAAAATCCATTCCTACTGTTTATTTTCAGAGTTAATGCTCCCTTTTGACGTAGCCTGCGAATTAACAATCTTACAATGTACATAAAAAGATCTGCATAGAATTAGAATTGTAGGAAGCCTTTTGATCTTGGGACTCAAAAGTCTTTTTTTTAAAAAAGGCAAATTAATGAAAGTTTTACATGTTCCCAGACTTCATCTTTTAGTTTCAGCTCAAAATGCTGCAAAAATGGCTTATTTTTCCATAATTGTGTAACCTCTGTTTTCGCTTTGGTCTAATGGGGCTGTTTTAGTGTCTTTAGCTTTAAATACAGCCGGGCTGCTGCTGCTGCTGTCTATGCCCCTTTTCCAGTAGAAGAGACTCTGCGTCTGCCCTGTTTAGTGATTGTTAAAGCAGAGCGAAATAAACGGGAATGTGTATGTGAGAATAAGACATTCTGTCGCTTTCAATATATCTCTGAGCGATCATTTTACGTGTAAACGTAGCCAAATTCACAGCACAGCCATTGTCCGTGTCGCTGTATGGTGATTTTGATGGGAAAGGTTGCCGTTGTAAAATCTGCGTTTTAACAGTGCAGATTAACAGCTTGGACATCTGGAAATCCAGTGACTGCTGGAGAATAGCTATTTGGGGAATTTGGCTATAATAAAAAGCACTAAATGTGCGCACATAGAGCAGGAGAGAAGCAAACAGCTGTAAACACCGACTGAGATTAGGTTGCATTGAAGCACAGAAGGCAGCATTTAAATACTGTAACAAACTTATTGGTTTCAAATCGTTATTGAAGTTTTCACCTTTTCCACAGAGCTCTGACCTGTGGGTATACAGTCGAAGCTAATGGTAACGTTGGTCGCACAATGTGTTGTCATTATGGATTTTCCAGTCTTCCTATTTCTGTGAGGACCTTGCCCTTGAAAAACAAAACAAGTCAATGGTTATGAAGGCTTGTGTTTACGCTAGCAGCAAACAGAATATTTGCCGTGCTTTGGTCGTAGCAGTGAGGGAGCAGGATCATGCTAATTTTGAGCTTGATGACTGTTGGTTCCCTAGTTTCTATGTAGAACCTGAATAAAATTCTTACCCACTTGCAAAGCTGGGAGGCTTTCTAGTTTTGAGGGGCACCAGAGGAATCGGCAGTAGTAATCATCTTTATATTTTCAGAGCTTTCATTTCACACCTTCATTTTTATCAGGCATACAAAACACAATACAATTTTAACCAAATGGAACCTTTAATGACACAGTAAGGTCATTAACAATCCTCTTGGTGTCTCATGAGCCTCTGTGGACAATCTACAATCAAATCCAGGAAAATAGGTTATTGATGGAAATTGCGTCACCCCGTACAATAGCACACTGAACAAATTGCCAGCTTAATTTGATTCATTTGCACATAGTTACCATAATGCCGTGAATACTCTCCTGAAGAATGCAGGCAGTTCTTAAAACCTTCTCGCAAGCTTTGAAACCACATCATGGTATCTCTTTAAGCCTGCGGGCTGCTTTCACAGACATGACTTAAAGCTTCTTCTAAATTAAAATTGATTTGACATTAGGGAACTCTCGGGCATTAATCTGTGTCTTCTTCACTGTTCTAAAAGGTACCAGATTGGAAGAAAGAATAAGCAGTTTATTGATGTATTCTGCCTTTATGCTTGCCCCCCCTACACCTAACACCACCCCGCCACCATCAGCATGCATATGCTGTATTTCAGATACTGCTCAGGAAGGTTGGTATAATGTTATTTTTTATTATCACAAATAAGGACCAAATCCAACAATTAATTTATCGAGCAGGGAGATTGTTTATGTAGCCAATGCCCACGCTTCTGTGCGATTGTCTTTCAAAATCTATCAAACAGCCATATTGTTGCATTGGATGACATATTTCGCAGCTAAAATGAATGCAGCTCAGTCAGGTTTACCCTGAAATAGCACCGTGAACTAATAACAGCGACAGCATTTTTGATCTCTGGAAAGTAAATGCTCACAGAAACTGGTCTGTGCTTTCCCTTCTTTGTTAGTTTGCTTTACCATTTATCATCAGCTGCAGAAATGGCCACTGGAAAAGTGCCCGGTCTGGGTCAGACTCGGATCATTTTGACATGGTTAAACATGGAGCTGATAATACTCATAAAGAAAGGTCAGACTCAGTGCATCTGCAATGTCATGTAACGGCGAGCAGAAAATACAGGCTGAAAACCATAAACTACACAGTCCGTGTTTGTTACGATGAAGGAATGTGTCATGTAATGCAGCACAATGGCTCTTTTATGTGTGTTTTTATTAGTTTCAAGAGGATAATGGAGTTCTGTGGAACACTGGCATAAGTTATATGAGCCTGTAGTTGCGCATACAATAGCTGTAAACAGGATACATTCTTTGTTGGTTTTGGTCTTTTCATTGAAAGTGTTGGCAATAATAAAAAGATTAAAATTAACGCCATCCTAATCCTTTAAACCTTACTTTAAAATGATTTCACTGTCGTGCCAGATGGGTAGGTGATACAATATCAGGACATCTCAAAATGTGTTCACTTGCCAGTCATTGAAATATTTTCCCTTGACAGTTGAAGATTTCTTCCTGTATGGTGGATCTTTTAGAGATAAAGCAAACTGACAGTAATTTATTGTTTGGACAACTGCCGACAACCATATTCTAGTTCTAGACATGTTTGACCACTTATCTGATTTCACAAACCTGTACCCTGGGGATATTATTGGATGTTTGATTACGATATCCAGTCCTAAACTAGGTACAACAAATGCCATGTCTAAATGTCACAGCACATTTATTCAGAAATGTCTCCAAAAGCAGGACCTGCCATCATACTTGGTCTTCCATCACTAATGAGCACAATACGAACAAATACCACCCCACCATATCAACTCACAGCCTGGCTCTCTACGTTTCGCATTTATATCTCAGAGGCTCTCAGCATCAGTCTCAGGAGAATTTATCAGCAATCATTTATGGAGATAAACCGCTGCAAGTGGAGCAACAGCTGTGAAGCTGCTAATCAAAAAGCTTCCCAGGGGCAGGTGTGAGAAATTAGCACAATAACGACTCAAAGTGCTGATTTACACACTGTTACGGCACAAAACACACTTTGCTCACTTGTACACTGCAGTGAAGCACATCAGGAGTTGTTGTGATTGTTCTCATCTGTGTCTTTTAACACAAGTAAGCTATGACTTAATGAAGACTACTGTGTACACAACTCTGTTCAATTCAGTTTTAATTATAAAGTGCCCAGTCGTATCACGTCATCTCAGAACACTTGACCTAGTAAGGTCAGGACCTTACAGTATTATGGGGAGAAACCCAACAATTCTCCCTCGAGCAAACACTTGGCAGCAGTGGGAAAGAAAAAACTCCTAACAGGAATAAACCTCAGGCAGAACCAGAGTCTGGGTGGGTGGCTGTCGACTTCGATTGGTTGAGGTGACAGAAGAGCGGCGAGAGGAAAGAGGAAAGAAACAATAAATAATAAACACCGGGCAGGTTGGTGAGACCAATAACCTCAGATCAGAAACATGCAGCTGCAGAGCCAGAGAAACCTGCAGAAAGGTGCAAGGGGATGGAGGACAGAGAGGACAAGATGCAGAGTTAATCACACGCAGTAGTGGCATATAAATGTGCGCGAGTGGCCGACCAAGCTTCACACTAATACCAGTCATTTGTTACAAATTGTCAAATAGGCTAAAGGAGAATAGCTCACCTTTCTTGCATATTGTCCCCCCTTTTTTCAAATTACTACTCTGAAGTTGAAACATAGCTTTTGATATCGCCTGAAATGGGGCAGAAGCAGAGCAGCCCTCCCCATAGGTTTCCCGACATGACCGCAGATGGGATGTCTAGCAAGATGAAATTGTTTCCTGAAGTTGTCAGACTGCTGCGCAGCTCCGTCCTTGTATTGGATTGTGGCGTCCATCTCTCTACATCTTCTGCTGACAGCCCCACCCTTTCCTCCTCATTTCCACCCCTTCAAAAAAGTAAACGATAATGGGTTTTATTTAATGTTTTTCCTTTTGTCTCATTTTCCAATCTGCAACCTCATTTATCAATGTCATCTACGTCTAAGGCTGAGTGAGTGCAGTTTCACTCTGGCGACCAGGGTTGTTCTTACCACAGATGATGATGTTGATCGTGGTGATGGATTGCATGAATGTAAATTCATCTATGTAGCCCTTTTTTCGCCTCAAACAGCCTTGAAATGTCGCTATATTTGCAATGTTACAAAGTCAACTATATTTATGTCAGGTCACGATGCATTTCTTGTGTGAACCTCTTACATGGTCCGCTCACATCCCAGAAACTGTCTGCTGTGGAGAGACGCAGACAATGAATTGTGAAGCATCATCCTTTAAACTTACATATTTGCTTTTTCCTTTTGTCAAGTTGTTCAGTCCGATCTCTCCTGCCCTTGTCTGATCAGTATATTTGGCCTTCTGTGTTATAGTGTTGGACAGTGAGCGAGTATGTAAACACAACTTTCTGCGCTACTAGATCACGCTGAAATATGAGAGTAAGGGGCCTGAGTGCAGGTAGACGGGAGAAGAATTGTAAAACTTAACTGAAGTTAGGCAAGTAATTTAGGTGGAGGGAAATAACTGGAATAGGGTCACATTGGAGGAAGTGACAGAAATGTTGCTGTGAATTGGAAAGAAATGACTACAGTTGATCCATTGAGATAGACTTTAAGAGGAGGT